AATCAATCCTGACTGTAAATGTCGCCAAACTGTTTTTCATGTTTTGACATAAATTAATAACATTCTCTTAAAATATTTTATCAATTTTGAAAACCTTAATTAAAATTAATAACTTGTCTATTTGGTCAATAATGAGGATAGATTGAAATGTGTAATCTTTTCATTGAAATGTGTAATCTTTTCATGGGCCTAACTCTTGCAAGTAGTCACAGACATTATTGTTGGAATTGTCAGTTTTTTGCCATTTGTTTTCTCCAAATGTGTCCAAAATCAATGTGTACTTAGTTTAAGTTTTCTCAAGTATTCTTGTCTAACTTCTTGCATGAAGTTTTGTGGTATAGCTGTGGGATTTTTTTTTAATCTTGTTTAAAAGCCACAGAACAGGAAATTTATACAGAATTCATTACTGAACAATAACCACATCTCAATAAAAAGTGCCTTGCTCAAGTTTTTTTGTGTAAAAACACCTTCTCTGCTTTAAAACTTTGTGCTTCTCTTTTGAAACACATGTTGCTTAAAACAAAGTGGCTTTTGTCTTATCCTTTACTGATTTCAGAAATATGTTAATGTCATTTATGTGTCTCTGATTTAGGGGAGGAGGCATGAATTGAGCATGTGGCTTTTGGGTATTTTTGCATTAATTTTAGTTTCTGTTTCAATGCCTGCAGGAGCCCCACTATTCATGATTTGTAATTCCTTTACATAAGTGTGACTTTTGGGTTTCATTTTCTGCGGGCTTTGCCTTGCAAGCTTCTTCATCTTGTTACACGAACTTCAAAGGATGCTTTGTGCAGCAAGACCTTGCTATTGACTGACTGGTAAAGCTGGGTGTTCCCACTGCTTCTGGTGGTGCTGTGAGAGGGGAAAGTTTAAGTGGGGGCATCACCTGTGTGGGGTTGTGGTTTTGGGGGCTTGGTGGGAGCGCGGTGAGGATGCAGGTGTGTGCATCATCCTGCACTCATGTGCAGGCTGTCTGCTCCTGTCCCCGTGCCTGCTGAGAGACCTGGGCTTTGTCTTTGGGTAAATCCAGGTGCTGAAATGCATTTTCCAGGGTGTGGCAGTGGTTATGTACAACTTGATAAAGGCTGCTTTTTAGCTTTTAGCATTCCCACAGGAGAAGACTTCCTGAAAGCTTAAACCAATTGCTTCTGAAATACTCCAAGTGTGGAAATATTGTCTGCATAAGAAAAACAATGAGACAAAAGTAAATCATGGTGAAAAGAATAACACCACAAAAAACTTTGGAGTATATTGTATTAATGGACAATTTAGCCTTAGTAGCAGCTTTGCACAGATCACTTAAGTTCAGTAGATGAAACAAATTTAAATCCCTTGAGTCCTCACTAATTACACCACAATGAGTAACTATAGAAATGTCAATACAAAATGTGGTCCTAACACCACAACACTACTGAGCTGTGTTTTGTGCACAAATTGAGACATTTGCATTTATGGCTCTCAAAACAACAGTAGCAGGGCACCTTCCTGAAAGAATCTAATGGTCTTTGTGTGCAACATCTCTTTGGTCCTCCTGGGATCTTGGCTGCTCTGGTTCTCTGTGCAGACAAAGGAAGACTGTGGGAAAGGTGCGCTCTAAGGTGCTTGTTCCTGCCACCTTGCTCTTTTGGGCACTCTTGCACCATTCCAGCCAGTGAAAGGGCTCATTGACTTGAATAAGGGTGCAGGATCCAACCCTGAATAATTAAAAAAAATTGCTGTGCTGGATGGCTGCATTTTGGCTTACGTGTTGGTCTATATATATTGACTTGTTTGAGAAAGGAATCATCTGTGATGATCATGACTGACAAAAGTCAAACTGAAGTAAACCGTTACAAAGGAAATGAGAACTGACATTGTCACTTACTTGTTTATATAACAAAAAAAAAATATCATTGTACATACTAAGGGTTGGACTTGGCAAGGATGTGTTGAGGTGATGAATTAAATTCTCTGTTTCATTGTTTCTTTTTGCACATCCAGGATGAATGAAGCAGGGAGCAACTGGAATTTATTTTGCTCAGAGGCAGGGATCATTTTCTGATAGCACTAGCTTATTGCAGTCTTGCATTCCTGTTTGACTTCCTTCTGTGTTCATCACCCTCCACCTCTTCAGTTCCTTCTGCGTCTTTTAGATCTCTTGCAGGCTGATACCAAGTTTGACTGATTCTTTTGTGCAAAATCCATTCTCACCTAGGTGCCTATGGACTGTGATCAAGTTACCTCTTTATGTTTACCTGAGAAGGAATTAATACCTGCATTGTGCTCTAGTGAAAATAGGTGAAGCATGTTTCCTGCTTTTTCATTTTTAAAAAGGTTCCATTTTATGCTTCTTCCCAGCTGTGTTTGAGGAGATCTGTGGGGCTGGCAGATGTAATTGCTGCCTTGTTTTGTGCTGTAGCAGCTTTCAGTGCTCACGTCCCTGCCGTGAGCCATCGGTGGTGGTGAGTGATCCCATCCCTTTCGCAAACAGTGCTGAGTGCCTCTTGTTTGTGCTGGTGTGAGGCAGTCTCCTCTGAGGTGATCTGATGGAATGTCCTCTCTGTTCTGTGTGGAGCAGTCCTGGAGCTTCCATGTGGTCTGCAGGCTGTGTTCACTCTGCACCATCCTCTGATCACAGCTCCTGTTGTGTGCCGGTGTGATCTTGCTCCATGAACGGGGGCTGCTCCCTGTGCATCCTGACAGTGTCTCTGTGGATAGCTGTCACCTCTAAGCTGTGTTAGTGTCCAGGTACTGGAGGAGAGCTGCTGAGTTGACTTCTCTGTCTAGTGTGGCAGGAAGGATGTGTGTTGTAAAACTGACAGTACCAGTCCTGCTGGGTTGGCACTGAACATCTCAAGGCAGAGCAGTTCAAGTTGGTGATCCATAACTGGCCCTGGGGTATGGTCCTTGTAACAAATTTTTTTACATCTTTACCCATGTGAACTTGAATTATTTGCTGCCAATAGTAGCTGAGAGGAAACTGATGTGGATGACTGGGATGGTGGTGTCAACACCCAGTTTTACACCCCAGTGCTGGTTTTATTCAGGGTGTAGATGCAGCCAGTAATGATGAGGTGTTGCTCTGAGAAAATGAGGAGCTATTAAGGCTTCATAGGTTCCCTGTGACCTGCTGTTTTGTCCTGTGTCCTGGTGTCCTGACAGGTTGTGTGTACAGCAGATTTGATTTCCAGCTTAACTGCTAGAATTCTGGGGGACTGGGGGATGTAACTTACCCCTTAAATTTCAATTTACTCTTTTTCAAGAAAACCATGATGGTAGTGACTCCAGATTTTATTCCATATCTCAAAGGGGCTGTACCAAAGGCCTGCAGATGGGTGTGACAGCTCAGAGTCTATGCAATTAGTAAATAGTCAGGTGGGGAATTTGAGGTTCTTAGTGATGCCATAATAACCAAGTTACATGTGTTTGAGGTAAGTGGTCAAGTTTCCTGCTGGCAAAAACCATTAGGGTTTTCCTGCCTTGCTCTCTTTTGTGGGTTGTAATCATTTGCATGTGACCTTGAAAGCATGACCTGACTGTTGCCTGCTCTTCAAAGGGCTTCAGATGCTATGGTTGATCTTTCTCTTTCCTTGTCCCACCCTCACAGGGTTTTTTGGCATTTGACCTTCTGCTGTGATTATCAGTAATAATTTCTCCCTCTGCAAAGAGACTGACTTTGAGTCATCTTCTGAATTAGATACCCTTGAAACTGCAGTGGGCTGGATTGATATCTGGAGGGGGTACTTCTGTCTCCTCAGCTCCTTCATCCTGGTGTTTAAGAACATCAGTTGTTTGTCCAACCAAGCAGTGTTTTCAAGTGGTAGTACAGGCTGGTTCAAATGGTTCATAGCACCATAAGCAATAAAAAGAGGTGGAAAAGAGAATGAGGAAGGTTATCCCTAGAGAAAAGTCTTCCCTTAGTCTTGCTCTTTTTTAGAAGTTCTTGTGACAACTCTTGGCAGGAGAACAGAAGAGGTGAACACCTTTGCAGTGGAGAGCAGAGAGGGTCAAGCACTGAGATCAAAGGAAGGAGCAGGGCTGAAATCCTCCCCTGTAAAGGAGCAGGCTGCACCTTTCCATGGCTGGCTGATCAAAGGGAGTGCTGCTTTGTGTGGACAGGACAGGAAAAACCCTTGGCTGTGTTCCTTCTCCCTGGGAAAACCAGAAGGCTCATACAGGTGGGCTCTTCCTGGGGATTCCATTCTCACATCTTTGGTTACTGGCAGCAGTCTGGGATATGCCAGCCTGCATTTTTCTTCCCAAAATGAATATTGGAGTGTGCTGATTGGAATTGTGGGAGCAGCAAGATTGCTTCTTGTCAGCTAAGGATCAGTGCCCTGCCCATCTGTGAGGGAGCACTGTGCTGTCCTGCTGGGTTATCCCATGCTCAGTGCAGGGAGCTGTACTGTGCTTCACTGGTGCTGGCAGCCTCCTGGTCCTGCAGTGTGCCAGGAAGAAACTCCCTCCACACCTGTCTGGAGCCTGCTGTTGATGTTGCTGGCCATGTTGTTGGGGCTGCTGAAGAGGTCAGTGGTAGATTCAGAGCAGTGATGATGAGATATGTTTGTTTGGCTTTGGGGAAATCGGGGAGATGATTTGAAACATGGGCTCCTGTTTTGAGGATGGCTTGTATGAGTTTTGTATGCTGAGACCATACTTGAAACCTAGTGGGGGGCATAGCACAGGGATTTGATGTTGAGTCAGGGATCCTGAATATCCTGAGCATATTCTTTAGATTGTTTGATCAGATAAAACAAAAGTGCTTGACAGAAACTGATGTAATTGGCAATTGTTAGACTTCAGGCTTATGAACCATGCAAAGACCTAGCAACATTTTTAGAATCATGTTTTGGTGATGCAGCTGAAATGAGTGAGTTCTCAGGAACAATTCAGTATTCCTGGCACCATAACTAAGAATCACACTGTTCTCTGGGAAACAAAGTTGTCACTCCTTGAGTGTCCTGTGAACTTTTCTTCAATTCAGCAAAAGTCATGATCACTTTTTCTTTCTTTTTTTACAGCAATGCTGAGTGACAATAACTCTGTGAAGCTGAAAAGTGATCATTCACCTCCTGTGCAATGGTGTAAGGTGGCTGCACGTGAAGATGAGAAGACCAAGCTGGTTTTTAAAAGGTACTCGCAAGTAAGTGTCATTGTCACAGCTACAAAGAGGACAGTTGTTCTACCCCCAGCCTGGGCAACTGCAAAATAGATGCAGAAATCAAGGCATGGGATTGCCACAGGCTGTAAATGGAGGGTTGAGCACACAGCTTTCTGTGGGATACTGAAAACATTTTGTGGAGGCCGGGATAACTTGTAGTACCTGTCTTCCAAAGCCAAAGTGAGATCCACTCACAAGTATTTCCAATCTTTTTTATATGCAGATAAATGACAATGCTGAGACTTCTGTACAGTCTGGTAACTGAGGAAATGGAAGGCCAGTGGATGTTGAGTGGGTATCCTGGGGAGGTGTTTTCATGTAGTTATTTTGTTATGAAGACTTCTGCAATGCTACATCAAAAACCTTACTCCATTGTTTATAGCTTGACATCAAATTAGAATTAATGGGTGTGTGCACATATAGATCCAGGACCATTTTATACCTAAAATGTTCACTAGTGCAATGCCAGATGAATTTTTAGGTCTTAAAGCTAAAAAACCCAAAGACAAACTGCTGCATACACAGGTGGATATAACCTGAATGGTGCAACCCCAGTTGAATCTGGGGATACTTGATAAAGTCCTGGAGGAAAACCAGCCTCATTTGTCAGGTATGAGTCTCCTGCTTTCTGCCTGTTGGCTCATCTCCAGGGGCTGCTGCCTAACATGCTGATGAAGCTCTTAGATCACCTATCAGTGGAAAATGTAATTTAATTGAGATGTGAGGACAGTCCTGCTTTTCCAGTGGTCACCTTGTTTGTAGCCTGTACTGCACACTGAGTGCTGGGATTGCATCTCTTAGTTCACATAGTACAAGCTTTTTTAAAAAAAATTGGAAATCTCTACTAACTTCATCTGAAAGAGTTTCAAGAAGCATTGGGCACTTAATAACTTGAACATTTTTTAAAGACATTTAAACAAACGTCCAGTCCTTAGGAAACAATAGGAAATGAAAATCAATAAGAAAGCTCAAACTACATACTTGAGCAAGAACCACAGCTTTAACCAAATAATGATGTAAATATTCCTCAGATGGGTTTAAACATGAAATGAGCTAAGTGACTTTCTGCATATCAACAGTGATTTTCTTTAGGAATGAGAAATTAGTAGATTAAAAATATGAATAGTCTTATGTTCTTCAATTTTAAAGTTGGTTGCACTTTTTCTGCTGCATGTTTTGGGGGTATAAGCAAATAAGGCTTTTCAGCCTGACCATCTGAGTTCTGCATTCTGGTCTGCCAGTGAGTTGAAAGTTTTGTTTCAGTGGTGGCCATTGGCCCAAAATCATGACATTTGAAGTTCCAGCCTTTTTTTCAGCTTGCATGGAAATATGTTTTCTAAGATAAGACTTTTAAAGAAGAAAAAAGTCACTCTTAGTTTCATTATGTGAGGAGAACTGTTTGACTCAGAGATACATTTAAAGTATATGAGGCAGGCATTTTCCTTATGCAGGCATCTATGTGTTCATACTTTTGTGCATCAGAGATACATATAAAGTATATGAGGCAGGCATTTTGCTTATGCAGGCATCTATGTGTTCATACTTTTGTGCAGATAACTTTGAAGAGTTATATAAGACTTGAAGTGAACAAAGCAAAAGGGTTTTTTTTTTTTATTCAAATGGAAGTATTCACATAAAGTTCAACTGTCTTAAATTTGCTTAAAAATATTGATTTAATAGTTGATTGAACATCAGAAAAAAGCTTTTTTTTGTTTTTCTCTTCTACTCCTCACTGTCCTGTTTGTTTTTAGAATTCTTGCACTGTTTGTGGTTGGAGGGTGCTTCCTTTATATCCTCAAATTACATCTTGACCCTGAGGAATGTGACAGAACAAAATTGCCATATGTGGACCTCGATCGTGTAAGGGTTGGTATTTTTTGGCCTTTTCTTTCATTTGGCTTAAAAAAAAAGTAATTAATTGACAATATAAGATTTACGGGGCTCTACAACAAAGAACTAAAATGCTGGAATTGTCTACTGAGCAGAAGTGTATTTTGCTTCATCCCATGCTGTAAACATTCTGGTTTTTTTTCTTGTAAAATGACAACAGAACCACACAGAGAAACTGAGGTTTTAGGGGTAAAATTAGATAACTGTGACTTTAAAATTTGAAATGGATGTGTCATCATCCCATTTTGTCAGTGCAGATGACACTGGTGATCAGAAGATTGGTGTAAATGGAAAGTCACACATTAAAATCACCCAAAACGAATATATTAAACCAAAAGGACTTTTTTTTTTTTTCACCTAAGCCAGTTTCCCAGTTTGCTTTGCCTTGTAGTTGCTCAGATGTTTTTGGAATCACAGGAAAATATCCAGGAGGGTGCAGTTATTATTTCATTTTTTCATTCAAGGTAGCAGCTACTTACTTTAGCTACAGTTTTGCATGCAGCTTTCAAAGAGGTGTAACAGACACCATGAAAGCCTTTTGCACTTTATAACAGCACTTAGCTGGCTTAGGGCTGTTAATTTCTGTCTTTGAATGTCTAGATGCTAAAAGGCAACTTCTAGCAGAAACCTTGTCTTAAGACAGTCTAATCTTAGCCTTAATGCATGTGCATCCTCCCCCACTTGCCATCATCTTCAGTGCATATCTTTCCCCTTCTGAGCCTCTTTGCCTCCCCTTTTTCCTCATTTGACTTATTTATTTTTTCAATAACATTCCTGATTCTGAAGAACAAACACAGTAAACCAAGCAAACCTGAAGGCTTGATGGACTGTATTTATTGGCTGTCTCAAAAAGTACATTGTGAAGTTGTTCAGTCATGCTTTTCCCAGTGTGGTGTTTGTGCAGAAACCTTCATAATGGTGGTAGAGGAAGTTCTGTAGGTTAATCTTGGTTAGGAAAAAAACCCAAAAAACCAGCAGCAGAATTTCTCTCCCTGCTCCTTCAGATATACACTATTGTTCCTTAACAGTAGAGGAGAACTAAATTAGCAGTTGATTTGAATCTTGTGTCTTTGACTCCTGTGTTTGCTCATGGGGTTTTTTTAATTACAGTGAAGGAACCTTTGCTGTTCCTCTTTTTACATCAGATACCAGCTTGCCACTACAGATTTCTAAAACTGTGCACTAATAGTGTTTTGTTTTTATTATGAGATGGATCCATGTGTAGTTTTATCTGTCACTTTAATCTTTTGTGCAATATAGAACTGTAGTCTCTTATTTTGGTGACCAGTCTTTGAGAGAAGGCCCATAACACCCCCACCTGGCATTCCTTTTAAAGTCATGTTTTAGTCATTAGCACTTTAGCAACATTTATGGAAGAAGTGTTGCTTCATTCTGATGAGTAAGTGAGTCCAGCTGCTGTTGCACAGAACTTTTACCCAATGGATGTGTCTCTGGTGGAATCTCACAGCAGAACTCAGGTCATGCAGTTGAGCAGAGTGGAATTCCACTTGCTGCTAAATTAGACAGGTAGAAGTATGTCTGGATTTTTTTTTATTTGGTGTTGCAAATGGTGGTACAAACAGCTCATTTTCACTTAGCACTTCTACTGGCCTAATATATTCTTTAGAAAACCTCAGGTCTAGATTTAAGTGATTGAGTGGAGAGGAATTCCTCTGCAGGTTTTCACCGTGCACTGACTCATATCTACATCTGAGTAAATGCTTCCAAATTGTTGTACTTCCACACTGAAGCTTTCTTTATAACCCCTGTGTTTGCTAAACTGTTGGTGGTCAGCTGGTGGCCCACATTTTGAGGACTTTGTGCATTTCTGCAGCTGCCTTTCCTGGCTGAATCCTGTGTGTTTTGTTTCAGAGGGCACAGCAATTTGCCAGCGCCGCGCTGCAGGAGCAGTGCCGACCTTCTTATGCAAAGAATGAGATGAAGAAGTTGTTTGCAGAGAAATACAGCATGGACATATCTCCCTTTGTAAGGAAAAATATGAATGAAGATGAAGCTTTATTTAAATATGAACCTCCATTTGGATTTCACAAGTTCTCTGATAAACTTAAAGATCTCCTTGAACTCTTACCTGAGCATGATTTACCAGAAGATTTGAAGCCAAAGCAGTGTAAGCGCTGTGTTGTTGTTGGCAGTGGTGGAATTCTTCATGGATCAGAGCTGGGTCACTTATTGAATCAGTTTGATATTGTTATAAGGTATGTCCTTTCCATTTAAGGACCCCAACTACTTCTTCATTACTTTATGAGCCAGCATTGTTTTTTAAGGGGAAATAATCTCTAACATTGATTCAAGGAATAACACTGTTTCTGAAAGTGCTTTTATGAAATTTTCTTGGGACTTGGTGGAATTGGAAGTCTTAGGAGCAAAATAAACTGTCATGTTTACAGGAAAGGAATTCAGAGTAATTATTTGTGGACTTCAGGTACAAAAATCACATGGGCAGAAACTACATAGAAACTAGTGACATCATAGACAAGTAGACATTACTGAGTTTATTTTAAAGCTTTCAAATCTTAAACTTCAGGACTTAAGGACTCACCTCTGCTTTTTTCCCCATGGCTTGTTTGGATGCTTATTTGAAAGTTTTTTTTATGACAGGTATTTCAAACACAATAAAAATTAATTGGTGTTTCAGTACACAGTTTGCTTACCCACTTTATAGCACACTTATCTTCACTTATCTTTACAAGGTCAGTGACTGTTTTCTGTGATTGCCATGATCTCTGACACCTGAATTACGTGCTCTGTATTTGTGCCTTCTGAACATTACAGTTTGAACCACCTTGTTTTGAATAATGTAAAGTCACAAATAAAATTAATACCAGCATTTTCTCAACTTATTTTGTAAACTGAGGCTTGCAGTTTCCATTGAAAGGAAATATTTCATTGAATCAATAGCCCTTATTTAAAGGTAAATAAACTTTGTTAGCAGGTGGAGGAGCAGAGAACTTGCATTAGCTGTCCTCTAAAATTAGGGATGGCAGGATGAAGGTGATTTTTCTGTTGATGTAGAAAAGTTTGCAGGACTGGAGCTATTCTGCAGAACTCATGGAGGGAGATGATGCCATTCTTGTCAGCAATGTGTCAGCATCTGAAGTTTTTGGTGAGCTGGAAATAATACAAACCCACAGGATGCATTACATTGCATTGGAGGGATAATTTGAATGATTTTTTGTGTGGAATACTTGTGTGTGTGTGTGTATATAAAGATACATGTATGAAAAGGATAACACAGGCAACTTTCTGTGTGTTTTCTTCCTCTTCCACTTCTAAGGCTCTTTTAAGCAAAGCAAGAGATATGAAGTTCTGCAATGGTGTGTTAAGTCACTTTACTCTTCAAGCATTTCTTTCCTAAGTTCTGCATTTGTGCCATTTAATCTAGAAATAGAATTGGCTTCCTCCCAAAGATAAAAGGGCTGGAAGAGTGAATGAGGCAAGAACATGGGGGCTGTGAGAAAACACCATAGCCTGTTCTGTTAAAAATCTATGGGTCTAATAACAAGTTTTTGCTTAGTGTCTGATATTTAATGAGATTGTAACCTGTTTATTTAGTACCCCTCCGCTGTGGGTTTCTTTTCCCCAGGTTAAATGATGCACCAGTGCAAGGCTACACGGATCACGTTGGTAACAAAACAACAATACGCATGACTTACCCCGAAGGAGCCCCCCTTTCTGAGCACGAGTATCCTCCTGCAAGCTTGTTTGTGGCTGTCCTGTTTAAAGGAGTTGATTTCAACTGGCTTCAAGCCATGGTAAAAAATGAAACCTTGGTATGTAATGTGACAGTCTCACGTACCTGTATTTTTTTTGTTTTGTTTTCTAATGCTTAAAGAAGCTGATTGATCTGTTACTTCCTGGCTTATCGTGCTGAGGATCTTTTATATAACCTTGTGGGTTTTTTTTTAGCTCTGTCTCCTAGTTACAGTTGGACCAGCATTTGTGTTGAAGCCCCATGCTGACAATAAGACTTGACTTTTGTGGAGATATTGGTGGTTTGCACCAGGCTACGTGACATACTGAGTGTTTGCTGAAGTGGAATTCTTTTCACATTTGGTTTAAGTGACTTGAACAAGTCTGCAGAGCCCAAAATAGAAATGGGAAGATTTCTGAATGCTAGTCCATTTTTTAGCAGCTCAAGTCTGTACTGCTACAATGGGCTTACATGGAATTAATGTGTAATCGAACATTTGTCTAAGGTTCCTAAATTATGAGGTTGCTTATTTTTCACTAAACATTTACAGAAGTGCTGACATGCCTAAGGAGCTGAGATTCCCAAGGGTCTGATGTTTCCAAATTAATGTGAATTGGTGGCTTCCACCTCTTTTAATCTGCAGGCAGATAATTTCAGCAAGTAAAAATTACTGACAGAGATTTAGAAGGCAGCCTGTCAAATCTTTTAACAATTTGATCTCTGCTAGTTTAGGTACTCCAAATTCCTTTCTTAATCCTGTGATTTCTACAATATGGAAGTTGTGTTTAATCTTGACCATGACTGTCTACTACTACACTGAAGAGTCAGGAAGATGCTTAAGGGACTGGTGTGGTTGTGTTCGAGGGTCCCCAGGACGAGGGAAGAGATTAAAATCTTGACTCCATATTTCAGAAGGCTGATTTATTATATTATGATATGATATTATATTATATTAAAATGCTATACTAAAAGTATACATAAAAGAATAGAGAGAAAGGATCCATCAGAAAGCTAGAAAGGAATGGAATGAATAATAAAAACCTGTGACTCTCAGAGTCCACACAGCTGGATCATGGTTGGTCATTAAGTAGAAACAACTCCATGGACCAATCCAAGATGCACCTGTTGCGTTCCACAGCAGCAGATAATTATTGTTTTTCTTTTCCTCTGAGGCTTTTCAGCTTCTCAGGAGAAAAAATCCTGGCAAAGGGATTTTCATAAATTATCATGTTGACAGACTGGAGCATCTCTACCATGAGGAAAGACTGATAGAGCTGGGAGTGTTTAACCTGGAGAAGAAAAGGCTTGGGGGGGATCTTAATGTACATAAATATCTGAGGGTAGGATGCCAAGAGGATGGAACCAGCCTCTTTTCGGTGGTGCCAGTGATAGGAGAAGAGGGAACTTGTCAGGTTGAATATCCATGGACATCTTTCTTAAAATCATCTAGACATGGTCCTGAGCACCTGGCTCGAGGTGTCTGCTTGGGCCATGGGAGTTGGACCTTGTGATCACCAGAGGCCCCGTCTAACTTTGGTAGTTCTGTGAGCTGCAACCCTACTTCTTTCAAATACTCAGCTGTCGGTTGGCTCAGCTCTCTGTGCAGGCACTGGCACTGAAGTAAACTGACCCAGAGCATGGTTGGGAAAATGGGAGCACTGCAACCTGTGTTTGATCAGTTCAAGCTGTTGCCTCTTAAAGCCTATTCTAAAAAATACAGGTCTATGTTGGAGCTGTATCAGTTTATAATTTGCTTAATGTTGCCCATTTCATGGAAAGACTTGCAGAATTAGTGTGATGTAATATTTCTTCTTCCATTAACAGGCATCTGACTGCAGTGGCATGAGATCAGTCTGGGTTTCTGAGTCCTGTGTAAATCCTCTTCTGAAGGGTTGCATTTATCACTAGGTGGATGCTGTCAAACAACAACACTTCAGAGCTTGAGCACAATTGCTTTAAGTCTGGTGCTTGCTTCAGAATGCCTGGTTAATGTTTGTGGGAAACTGCTTCCCTTCCCCATTTCTTTAAATACTGTTGGCTGCTCAGCTGTGCTGGGGTAGCCTGAAGAACCCATGGGTGCTGGTGAATATGTTGACTGATAACACAAAGTGCAGTCAAATATTCAGAATAAGCAACTATTCCCTCTGCTGTCTTCTCTACAATTCCTCATACTTTGAAGGTTTTTCCTCTTTTGGGTCAATCATTTGATCTGTACAGTGATATTTCCAAACCACCTTAGCTGTAAACTGTTTCCTAAACAGTTTTCAGGGTCACTGGTGAATTCTGTAATGTGTATGCTGTGTTTGTCGCAGAGTTTCCCTCTGAACTAGATTTTTTATTTCTCTTAGCCTCTGTGGGTGCGACTCTTCTTTTGGAAGGAGGTTGCTGAGAAAATTCCTTTCACATCAAAGCAGTTTCGGATTCTGAATCCAGTCATTATCAAAGAGACAGCTTTGGACATTTTACAGTTCCCTGAGCCTCGATCAAAATTCTGGGGTTGGGATAAGGTAAGAAGTTTCCTTTCACCAAAAGGAGACAGTAAAATACAAGGTAAATAAAATAAGAAACTGAAAAAAGTTTTGGGCTTTTTACTTTCTCTATGCAGTCTCAGACCTGCTCTAAGTTAATAGGGAAATTAATGTGCTTTCAAAAGATTCTTTTCTGGTGCAAAATCAAAGTAAGATTTCAGCTGACCTTTTTAGATGAGGTATTTTGCCTGGGTATGCTGACATGAAATGGCATTCAGATGCAGTGAGACATAAACTCATTCCAGTGTTTAAAAACATGCATTTGATGTATGTTAAGCCTGTTAAAAACAGCCCTGTTAAGCTAAACCAGCCATCAGCTGTAGCCAGATGTCTCCAGCTGCAGGGAAAGCAGAGAGAGCCTGGAAACCAGGCCAGTGTGAAGCAGCCTTCCAGCTGCTGGAATTGCTGTGTATGCCAGAGAATGCTCAGTAGCAGCTGATGGGCATTTCCTCCCTCCACGTCCTTTGCTCCAGCAGTGGTACAGAGTGATGAATTGCCTGGTTTAATTATACATTTTTGTTACTTTAGTTGCATGTTTGAGAAATTGAGTGTCACTAGTTTTCTTGAACTACAAAAAAAAACTGACTAACCACCATCTTTTTACCAAAATGTAAAAGCACTTAAGATTAGTGCACAAATATTTGAAGGATCTTCTCACATTTATTTATCAAAATAACATAAAATACCAAGCTGAGTATCTTAATGGTACTGTAGTATAATTGCCTCTTTCACAGGTAATTCACTGAAAAGTCATATTGTGAAGAATGCTGTTAGAGAGCCTGTTGTTGCTCAAGACTTGAATAAGAATACATCAAGAAATGTGAAGTTTAGCTTTCTGTCAGGGTTTGTTTGACTGTTTGAAGTGAAGGATCACTTGCAGTTTAGCTATACAGTGAATAGGGCATCTTGCCTTCACAAGAAAAAAAAAATGTTGACAGCCAAAAGCCAAATACTTAAATTGTATTGGTATTTTGCCCTGGAATTTTTAGTTTTACTTGATCATTGAATTGATTTTTAGTTGTAGTTATAATTGATTTCAGTTTTAAATGAGGAGAGGGAATAGACAAAGTAGTTAAATTTTGTAAAGTGTTTATAAACCTGGTAAAGGACAATATGTTTGAACTGAGAAAATTTCACTTTTCTCCCTTTTTAGAATGTACCTACAATTGGGGTCACAGCAGTTGTTCTGGCCACACATCTTTGTGATGAAGTGAGCTTAGCAGGATTTGGATATGACCTGGATCAGCCCAGCACACCTTTGCACTATTACAACAACCTCTGCATGGCTGCCATGAAAGAACAAACTATGCACAATGTGACAAGTGAAACAAGATTCCTGCAAAAACTCATCAAAGAAAAAGTTGTCAAAGACCTCACTGGAGGGATACACTGTGAATTCTGCAGCAAAGACAGCTAGTGACCTTCTTGCAGCATGGATAGGATTTGTTACATTTCCAGAGGTTCAGCTGGATCAACCCTTTCCTTCTCTTTAGTTCTTTAAAGTGTACATGAAATGGACGTGGGATCCCTGCTGCCTTTTTTAATGTCCCGTTCAAGTTGTCAGACTTTTAAATTAATTTTCCTGTGAGAATTTACTTTGCACATTTCTGTGAATAGCTGTGTAAATATCTTGTCAATTCAACTTGGAGTTGAAAGACATCCATTTAAAGTATTTAATATTTTAAGTTGTCAAATAAAAGCAGGTTTTTTGTTTTCAAATGTATATGGAACACACGTGGCTGGCCTGAATTGTCTAACAGAAAGTGCAAGAGTTATTTTTCCCTGATCTGCTGTCTTTGTTGATCCAGTTCTTGGTATCTTGACTCCTTTTCATGCATGCCATGAAAAGAAAGGCATATGCTTCTCAAGTCTTGCATGTCTTGAACTTGAGCATTGCATTTACTCCTCAAATATTTATATTCTTTTGCTAATACATTTTGAGGGGGTGAAGGACAAACGTAGGAGTGGAGTTGAAGGAAAAAGAATTGTTGTGGCAACAACTGAGTAGTAAGTACTTTGATGTTCATGATTGATATTAAAACCATTGATGTATTAATGTTTTGGGTTAGAATCCTGCTTTGTGAAGCACGTTTGGGTCCAGGGCACTCTAGAAGAGGATTTAGCCAGGAGGAGGCTTTAACCCAAACCAGGTCATTTGTCATTTCCATTCCTGAAGATCTGCCTAAAAGTTTCTAACTAGATGATTTGCAGCAGAGTTCAGCTACCCCAATTAAAGAAGTGGCATTAATACAAATTCTGCCCCTTATAAAAAGATTATTTATATTTGAGACTTGAGAATATCTGGTTCTATAAAACAGTAGTTTGTATCAATCATTTAGCAATTCTAAAATCTATTACTAGATTATAATTTCCACTGGTTAATTTTATGATCCTTAAGTAATTAATTATAGATATTGTCACCTTAATAGTTTGCAATGCTGATAACTCTTGTGAAGTCCAGTATTGATTATTTAATTGGAGAGGTAGAGTTGTTGGTCTTCCCCAAGTCAGTAATTGGGTGAGTGTATAAGTTAAGAAGAAAATCACTTTAAGAGAGTAGCGTGAAGTCCAGTATTGACTATTTAATTGGAGAGGTAGAGTGTTGGTCTTCCCCGAGTCAGTAATTGGGTGAGTGTATAAGTTAAGAAGAAAATCACTTTAAGAGAGTAGCATAATCAAGTAACAAGGTAGATAACTGCTGAAAACAGCAAATTTAAAAAACAAAAATAAGAAAGAAAACTATAGATTTATGTTCTTGGGAGTGGAAATAAGTGCACTGCAAAGGCACTGGGCTGTGCAGATCTGTGAGCAAGTTTTTATGTTTATATTTTTGTTATTAGTAGAGTATCAGGTTTGACTGTTTGCACTGAGGAGTGGTGTTACTCAATCTACAGCATGAGAAAAAAGCTTCCTTTGGCAGTGGAAGCTTGTCAGCAAATCAATCAAAGGTTGGCCTAGAAACATTGCTATTAATCATGGACTCTTCAAGTGGTGAAGGTTCCCACTTTTCTTTTGTTACGGACAAAGATGAATGAAGTTGTAGTTCTAAATTTTAAAAATACTCATGTGGAAATGCAAGATTAGAGTGGCTGTGTTTTGGGGTTTTCTTCCGTGGAGAGCAGATCTAATGAATGATAATGTTAGAATGCAGGAGCAGCAGACTGATGCTCACTGTTATACCGAGAGGCAACAAAAGGACATCAGGTCATAAAGCATAACTGAAGAAAGTTGTGCACCTCATCTTTCCTAAGTCCCACATGTCTATAGGTCCTTCAAAGCCAGTTGTGGGGGCTGAACAAATTTGAAAATCAGGAATTCTTGTTTCTGGCACTATCTGTGTTCATAGCAATAATATTAATCTCGCCTCCTCTTCCATGAAAAGCATTAATTTTTATACTAGCAATAAATTTCTAGTCTGTTTTTTTTTTTTCTAAGTATATTATTTAATTTAAAAATATTTCATGTGTGAAGAGTTTTATACAAATAGTCCTTTAGTTAATATATTAAAATGCGGTAACTATTTTCTCCTGGTATTTAAACTGGAAGCAGAATACTTAATTAATACTTAATTTCATTTAGTATTAATGAAATTTTGGAACATTTCAGAATGTGTGTGTTGGGAGGATGTCTTCAACACACCAGAAGTCTGTATGTCTGAGCACGTGGTCCCTCACCACTTTGTTTTGTTCAGCAACTTAAAAATAATCAGTTGATTAATGTAAATGTCAATAGCTTTTTGGAGATGCTGTATTTACTGTCAAATTTGCAAATTGTGTGGATGTAGGATTAGATTGCCTACCTGTTTTATGGCTTGTGATAAAACCTTGTTCTCCATGGTAGTCTGTGCAGACTCAACACTCATGAAATGGCAGCAAAAGGCAATAAACTGATGAAACCACTTTCTATTTATGTATTTGTCGCTCAGTTTATTTGTTCTCCCTCCTTTATTAAGGATTTTGCATGTCTTGCTGATCCAGTTGAAAGTCTTGATGCAACCCCACATACCCCAAAACAGGGGAGATGGTAGCTGGTAACTTTTTCTCTGTTCATTTATGCCTTTTTAATGCCTGTCACTGGAATTATCTGTCTGGTGCTTGGAAGAGAGAAACCCTCTCAACACTGACCAAATTGTGAGCTTCCAAGATTTTGAAGTTAATGTGGATGAGAATATTTTGGACTGGGCTATAGCATTGGCCTTAAAATCAGGGGTGTGTTTCCTACAATGGTGTAAACACTGCAGCTTCTGATCTGTGCCTCAGCCTCGCTGGAAGTGAGATAAGAACAAAGCTCTCTGAGTTCTGTTACTGTTTCACAGATTTATGCTTTGCAAAGAATCTGCATCCTTTGTAAATAGGCCTTAATAGTGTTTGGTTAAAAAATCACCAAAGAGTTTGGGAGCTGTGATAAAGCCATGTGTTCTGCATTGAAACCCTTTTTGTAACTCTCTGTAGGAGCTATCACAGCCAGGGATATGCCTTATCTGTTCTGGTGCTGAATGTTTTCATGGTTCCTGTGCAGGAAGTTGCACAAGGAGACATGAAGAGCTGCCTGACTGTGGAGTGGGGAAGTGCCAAAAAGGGTGACTGCAGTGATGAGTTGGCATCAAAAGTGGGTACTAAACTCGTGGGGACTGTTGAGATGCTGATAAGGAACTGAAGAGAGTTCAGCCTCTCTGCATGGATGTGTGTGGATAGCTCCAGCTCTTGTGCTGCAGTTGGAACTCCTGCAGGAAATGGGAGGGCACCAGGGGAGGCAGCTGTGTAGCATGAGTCTGGTCCTCTTTCCTGGGCAAGGGAGGATGAAGGGAGAGCACCTTGTTAAGGCCAGCTCAGATGTGATGCTGTGCCTTGCTTCCTCCAGGCTGCCAGCAGCAGGGTTTTGTACAAATGTTTGATTTTACCAGCTTAGGAAAAGGTTCTTCCCCCCGAGGGTGGCTGGCACTGAACAGGCTCCCCAGGGCAGTGCTCACAGCAGCAGCCTGGCAGAGCTCCGGGAGTGTTTGGACAATGCTCTGGGGCACAGGCTGTGACTCCTGGGGATGGTGCTGTGCAGGGCCAGGAGCTGGACTGGATGTTCCTTGGGCGTCCTTTCCAACTCAGCTTGTTCTGTGATTCTAATGAAATGTGTGTACATCCTGGTCAAAAGAGTTTTGAGCCATTTGGCAATGAGCGTTTTCCCACACCTCCTGAGGTGCTGGAAGATAAACAGCCCACCCCTAGAGTCCCTTAGGGGCTAATGCCCCTAATGCCTTATGTCTCTAATTGTCTTTTTAGCTACACAAATGATGTTTTTCTTGTCACAAACAGTCCCCTTCTTACTCTGCCTCTGTGACCATTGTATTTTTCCTAAACCAACCCTGTGAGCAGGGTCTGAAGCACCCACCCATGTCCCACAGGTGATGTGAATTACAGATGGGTATTGAGTGTTGCACTTCAGCATGTCCCCAGCCGAAATGGGGGGCTGCTGCAAAACTTCCTACATTCTGTAGCTGTACAATCCTCCCCACCACTCCCTGGGAAGGAGTTGCAGTAGCTCGTAACTCTGTGCTGGTCTTGGACCTGTACATTGCCATGAGGGAATCCTTCTGCTTCAGCTCTACCTGTATTCCTTGCTCCTCTCCATACAGCTTATTCCACCTGTGTGCTCAAAGCAACAAAATCCTTAATTTAAAAGAGTACAATAAAATGCCTTCCTTGAATGATGACAAGGGATCTTTTGGGGAGGTTGCTAGTGTGTGTTCCTCACAAGCTGCAGTCTAAACTATCACATGTGATTGACTTTCTCAAGGACATGACAGCTGCTCTGATGGTCAAGGTAGAAAGCAGGAGTTAAATCAGCTTTGCAGTGACTGCTCCTGTGGTTTATGTGGATGTGAAAAGCCAGGAATTGCCAGCACTGGGTTTTCAAGTGGGCGGGCGCTTTTTCCAGCAGATTTACCCTTTTCTCCTTGTCCAGGCACTTGTGCATCACCTCTTTGTGGTTTAACAAAAAGCCCAAACACACCTGTTACTGAATCTTGACTGAAATTCTCATGCCTGTCAACATTTGTGTTTTCTGTTCTGTGAACTGGAATTAAAGCTGCTGACTCTTGCAGAGTTGAGCAGGGCTGAACATCTAGTTTACCTCCCTTTGGGGTCATCTGCCTGATCATTTGTTTTCACAGCCTCCCTCTCCTGTGCTTGGGCCAAAACCAACTTCTTCCCAAGATCCTGCATATGCCATAGAGGAGAACAAAGGCTTCTTGTTCAGTGCAGCCACTTCTGCTCCCTCCTCATGGGCAGCGAGGAGCCCTGGCCTTTGCAAGGAGGCATTTCCATTTGCAGGGGATGGCTTTGGCACTGGTCAGGCACTGGAGCTGCTCCTTGGAAGGGGCTGCCAAGGCTCAGATAGAATGTGGTGGGCAAGTTGCAGAAAAACCCATTTTTCACAAGCTGGTGTCATCTCTCTGAAAAAGAAAAATTGGAAATCCAAGCAGCTGTGGCAGTGCTGAACATCAGACACTTCCTTCCCAGTGATCTTTGTGTTCCTGCTGCATAGCTAAAATAATTATTCTGTAGCTCAAGGAAGTCTTGAGCCCTAGCTTGGGCCTTCAGCATATAAGCCAGTCTGGAGGGAAGCAGAAACACTGCTATTTGCAAATTCCCCCCTTTTCCCAGCCTTTTCCTACCTGATTTGAGCTGATAAAACCTCAACAAACCCATTTTGCAGAAGCTGGAATTACTT